TTTCGCACTCCTTCGCCCTCTTTCGCACTCCTTCGCCCTCTTTCGCACTCCTTCGCCCTCTTTCGCGCTCCTTCGCCCTCCTTCGCGCTCTTTCGCACTCCTTCGCACTCCTCCGCTCTCTTTCGCCTTCCTTCGCGCTCTTTCGTACTCCTTCGCACTATTTACTTAAAACATACGATGATGTTTTAATGTCTTTACTTTCTCATTTAATGCTCAAAGAAGAATGAAATTTACTTAACCGTATATAATAAACAATCCTATTTCGCCGTTCGCTACGAAGTAACTTTACGCACCCACAAAATTTGAGTGTGTGAAAGTAAACTTAGTCTTGTTATTACAATAATGTTCGTAAACTGCTCCAAATATATGTCCCACGTAATATGGTAATATTCGACTCCTTCGCTCCTTGTAGGCAATAAAAGCGTTTTGGTATAATAGTGACAATCTTTTATATAAAAACGTTTTATTACACATTATTTCAATATGTAATTTGACTCAATTGTAGAAAATTTTTTGGCTAAAAATAATTTTGATATTATTTAGTCCGTTTCGTTGGTTGTTTTGCTTATGCACTTATTTTATATTTGTCGCAATTAGTGAGTACCGTTTATTTAGGTACCCGTGTTAAACAGCAACCTTACTGTTCAATTTGGCAGTCGCCTGAAATTCAGGGTGATTTCAAATGCTATACATTTGCACGTTACATTTCTACTTTTTAACTCGGTCATAGACAGTACTTTAATAGTACTGCACACAAAAATGTTACTACTTTTCTTTGTGCCATATTGCTTATATTAAAGCAATATAAAATGTTTAATGTAAATTAATTAAATATTGTTAATTATGTTGTTGATATTTCTTTATGAGGAAGTAGATGGCAACTGGCAATTATACAGAAAGTACGTAGGAATCGCAATGTAAAGTCCATAGTTACTTTTTTGAGATCCATATAGCGAAACGGGGTACCCCGTATTCAATATTATCAAAAAATCTCCAAATGATATACCTATTGTAAGAAAATTACCATCTTTCTGCGGATAAAACTCTTATTGAGTTTATAGCTTTTTTGTTAATGAGTTTCATGTGTAGAAAGATAGTAATTTTCTTACCATAGCTAAGTATATAAATTAAAGATTTTTGTTTAAAATGTCGTTTATGTGGTTTTACCTTTAAACAGACGATATTCTCATATTTAATTTTACGGTAAACGCCATTACTATTAACTGCCTCCGTGGCCGAACGGTTACCATCCGCCGACTGCCACGCAGAGGTCCCAGGTTCGATTCCCGGGCCGGGAGAAATATTTATTTGGCCTTCATTTATTTCTCTCGTGAGTTAGGGTGTAATTTGTGGTTGTTTATGTGTGCGTCCAAGGCATCCGCGACACAGGGTTTCCCTAGTTGAGAGCGAGCGTTATTATTATTAATGAACGGGTGGTGTTTCTCCGCTCACGCTGTCAAGGTCAACGACTTCGGGGCTGATGCACCCGGATGCACCACACTAGCTGACCAGCAGTGCACTCTTTCAGAACGGCAGCAAGGCCCCGCCGGGCCCCGCGGCGGCCAACGGCGGCGGCAGGGCGCCGAAGGCCAACAGCGCGGCGCAGTACTACCACGAGACGCGCTCGCTGCAGCGGCCGCGCGGCGGCGGGCCCGGCCCCTTCGGGTGAGCGACAATTCGATGTCCTGCGCATCGTCGTCTCCCTGCACTACCATTTTCGAACGTTCAAATGTTAAAATATTTATATAATCTCAGTGCAGAGTACTAAAAAACCGACCTCAAATCGGTTTGCCAAGTTTTATTGGAGTCGGTTACGGGAAAGTACGCGAAACCGGTTTCATCCCGGTACCCTCTTTCCAACAAAAAAGGCGTCAAAATCGGTTTACAAATGTTACAAACCGCAATTATCACGTAACATACAAAAAATACAATCGAATTGAAAAAACTCCTCCTTTTTTTGAAGTCGGTCAAAAATAATAGGTAATTGCTTTCCGTGTTCCCTATTGACGCTTTTACCATTATCTAATAGACACTGTATAAAATACAAAGTATACTTTATAAAACTTATTTTGCTTTCGGTCCATTACACACTAATTTGTACGTAGATATTACAAAAAAAAATTACATTTCAGCATGTAGCCGTATTAATCAAATTTGCGAAGGTTCTACTTATACTTACCACCCGTCGACCGCGTTCATTTTGTTTTAATTTCACAAATTTAAGATATTTTCTTTATCACAATTAATAGCGAACTTATAACACCTTATATACATATAAAGTTATAATTTAACAATACAAAAATTCGCAATGAAATAATACATTAACTAAACCAATTGCATGACAATAACATGATATCTGTCAATGAAAATCAGCCCCTAACACCCTTTTGTTGACAACGTAAACTACCCCAAAGACCTTTTTGTATTTACCGCATCAATCGTCTCTACAAAGGGTTAACATCCCCCTAGTAAGCGAGCATTGATTTCGACACGTACTCCAACGACCGTGTGGCCTAATGGATAAGGCGTCGGACTTCGGATCCGAAGATTGCAGGTTCGAGTCCTGTCACGGTCGATGATAAAGCTACGGGGTTTTTTACTTTTTTTTGTAGAATAATTTTGTTTTCTAAACAAAACCGTTAGTTAAATATAATACATTTTTATTTTTAATCCGAATGGCGATATTTATTTCATTTGATTTGTGCCTCTTAAATACTTCAGATTTTTAATAGTAAATGTTGTAACTGTATATAGTCCGTTTTTATTGAAGATGGAAAAATTTGACATTTGCAGGGTTGCCAGTTTTCGTAAAATTTTAAATAGTCATGTAGCTATTGTCGATAGATTTATCGATAGGTTGGAAAGATGATAATAGTTTCCAAAAAATGTATGAATTGTGAGACTTATAATTCTAATGATTAGTAATTGCGTTATCGCCGTCTTTACTCTTATTTTGACGTTTGGCCCGCGAGTATCAAAATCAATTCGTAAAGTATCTACAGACGCACGTTCAAATTATTGCCCTATTGTAGACTATGTACAATACCACCTGAACTCGTTTTTATTCATATACATTTTTAATAATGATAGTTGGATTTGATTATCTATACTGAATTAAAATGAAAAACCACAAAATTTCCCTTTTTGATTTTTAATAGATGTGATGAACTTACAAAAGTTGACAATTCAAATGTACTTATAAATTTTACAATTCAAATGTACTTATAAAATCTACAATTCAAATGTTGACTTAAAATTAAATATGTATAATGCACACTGGGCGGATTCACAAATTACGAAACAAATGTATATATACGTGTTTCGTATACATTTTTTTTGATTCGAAATTAAATCTCTTCTGTGTTAGACGAGGTAATGGTATCGTCGGAATCCGATACATGTATAATAAATGTATCACATACGTCGTCAATTAAATGGTCGAGTTGGCGCATTTTCGTTTGGACATCGTTGATAACGTGGTCTACACAATTTTTCCACTTTTGTGGCGTTACATTAGTTATCCCTTCTCCAAGCAATATTTTAACTTCATTCATTTTAAAAGTTTTGTTATTTCTTGCGACGTGCCCCTTTACCAGTGCCCAAACTAACTCCGAAAAACCCGAGTGCTGGCCCATCTCTGGTGCGAATTACGCAATTTGACTGTAATGATAGCTTTAATTGACAAACACGTCGTACGCCAAGATTTCTGCACCTAAACAACTACAGCAAGTTATTTAAATAATCTGCCAAAGTGAATATTGATTTGCGAATGATTACCTTGGCAATAGTTGGACCTTCGTTTCGGAAAAAGAATTGATGAACATTGCGTCTTATGGCCTCCAAATGGAATTCATCGAATTTTTCTATGTAGCTTTTTCGCCTGCCTTTCGGTTTAGGGGGCTGAAAGTTCATATTTTCGCATTTTTCTTTTAGAACTGTATAAACAGTTGATTTTGAAATGCCCAGAATGTCAGCCGTTTTTTTAGCACATTCTGTATTACTGGCTGCTTCTAAAAGATTTGGAGCGCAACCCTTGTTTTCTTCCTGAACAATGTATTTATATACATTCTCCGTCATCATCTTCTCAGTAGTACTGAGAGCAATACGTTGTCTTTTCTTTCGAGGCGATAAAATGCCCGAAGAAGTGGATGGTCCTGGGTTGTCCATATTGCGATGCAATACGTAACAAATACAGTAACAAAAAAAACTTAACAAAAACACGATAACAGAAAACAATAACGTGAACTAACAAAAGAAACGTAA